CAAATTAATTTTCAGACAATAAGGTTAAAAATACAAAAGTCAGGCTTTAATTCTAAAAAATAATATTATCAAATTAAATTAATCTACCCACACCTACCATCATCAAACAATTGTTCTCCACTAGGGATGATAGTGGGGCCGCCCCATGCAGCCTCATCCAAACCCCGCCTCACCTAAGATGGGGCGGGGCAGGATGCGATGCGGGGATAGGGCGGCGGCTTGCCCCATTTAATTTTATATTTTTTTTATATTTTTTAAATTTCAAGTTATGCTATTATTAGATAATAGAATATAAATTATTTTAATTTAATCAAAAGAGTTTGATAGTTGGTACGTGTTCAAAAACCCTAATGTTTCGCACATTTTTTGGAAGTTTTGAACTTGGCCAGATTGCTTGGCATTGATCTTGCAACAATCAAGGGCTTGGTTTAAAAAAATTTCATGTTGAAACCACACCACCACAGCAGGTTCTATGAACCTATTTCATGAATCTTTTAATAACAAAATTTAGAAAGTCTATTAAATGGATTGACATTATTTCATAAATCTTTTAATAAATTTTCAGAATTTTTTTATTTTATTCTCTTCACGAGGTCAATTAGGGGCTGCCCCACCTGGCCAACCCGTTCGGGGCCGGTTTTTTTTGCCCTATTTGGGGTGGGGACATATCAGGTAGGGGCGAGACGGGTTTTTTTGTCATCGCTATTCTCCATCCCACACCCACCCTTGTGCACCGTGGCCATCCCTTCTTACAAATATTGGCATCTACCCGTTGACGACTTCTTTAGCGGTGAACAGATCGCCACTCAATTGCGAATAAATATCGCCCACTCAAATAGTAGAGATAGAGGGAAAAACACAGCCACCATTGGAGAACATCGACTAATCATCACCAGCAACTGACCATATTCTTCATCTGCGACTCAATAGTGCTGGTATAATTTAAAACAATCTTTTTAAAATTAAAAATTGAAAAACAATCCCTAGTGTAATTTACAAAGTGCTTATTGGAGCAAAATAGCTTCAATTCTCATCGTCAAAACCTGGTTAATTGAATTTGTGACTAGTTAGAATAACTGAATTCGGAGAAATCAATGGCATATGATTTGTAACTAGATCAAAAGGGTTGTGACTAGATCTCTTGGATTTGTGATATATGACCAAAGCCAATGGTCTATCTGTGACCTGTGACCTATGATTTGATTTAATGGCATGTGAACTAAACTCTTGAGTCCGTGACTAAATTTTTTGAATCTGTAACCTATGCATTTTGACATGTGCGCTGTTATATGTGACAGTGACCTAATCCTGTGATAAGTGACCAAATCTATTGAATATGTGACCGACGGCCCGTGTAGTTTGGCAAGTTACAGATTTAAAAGATTTGGTCACAGAAACTCTATCGGTTGGGAATGTAAACCCCCCATCCACAACTCCAACTAAGGTTGAGACTCAATCGATTAGCCGGACCACCACCATTACCCCCATCTCGAAAACTCTCCCTATTGCTGAAACTCTAACAGCTGAAAAGGCAACTGACCCTACCACCAATACAATCTCCATAATTCAACCTACTATTGAAACTCAAACGAATGGGCAGGCAACCAAACCTGCCACCAATACCATCTCCACAACTCCACCTATTGCAAAAACTCAAACAGTTGGGGAAGCCGCCACCCCCTCCCCACCACTAACTCCCTCACCATTTCCATTTATAGGTGAAACCCAAACTCGAACACCTAGCCAACAAAATACAAACATAACCCCTGATGCCGTAATTCCACCTTCAAGTGAGCCCAGATGGCTAACCAACCTAATGCCACCTCAATTGGCCTTAAAAGCACGAGCGTCGCACTTAGCAGCTCTATAGTGGCAAACAACTCGCCTGCACTTTGATCACCAATGCAAAGTATTGTTTGTTGACCTCCTCGCATGCTGTCATATCGCCTCTGTCATGGCATCGAGTAGTATAGATTGGGTAGAGAGAGAAGCCACTGAAGAGTATGGAGGTCGGAGTATATAGAGATAGAGAAGAGAGAGAATGGCTATGAAGAAATGATTTGGGGATTGAAATTGAAATTGTAGGGTGCACTGTGGGTGGCGATGGAGTATTATTATTTAATATTAAAAATTAATTTATCACCTGATTTGTGAATAATTAGACCTTATACTTGATTTTAGCACAATGATCTTTAAAATCTGGTTGTGGTGTAATTTTCACTATTTTTATTCTTTATCAATTTCCATCAATTAAAAAATAGTTTTCATTGAGTTAATTCTTTTATAAGTAGACAAGAAGTTATGACTCATCTGTCCGAATTTTTGAAAAGTCAAAGATTCTTTCAAGATCAAAATTTATTTTTGAACATGTTTAGATAATTCTTTTTGAAAGTATTTTATCTGGTTAAAAAAGTTTTTAGACAGAATTGATCCAAGATTGTTTTACAATTATTAGAAGCAAAAGTAAAAGTCGTGTCAACATGACATTATTATCCTTGCATAACTTACATGTTGCAATCATGTATTATTTTTATCATTATGATTGAGATAAGATGGTTTAAAATTAACTAAATTAATAAGGCGATAATAGTAAAAATTAAATAAGGCGATATTATTGATTTTATGGTTGTATATAATCTCTAAAAATGAATATCGATTTATTTAATATTTAAATTTGTCTGATAAAATTATTCAATATTAGAAATTTAAATTAGGAAAAATACATATTTTTATTGGAAAAAAGAAACCAAACATATTTTCTTAAAAATCATATAATTCCTCTATATCCTTTCACCCTCCTTGAGCACTATCACATCAAGAAAAGTTTGTTTTTATTTTAAAATATAATAATTACTTGGTGCAAAATTTACATTTCATCTGTTCTTTTCTTATTTTCATAGTTTTTCGAAGGAAAATGCTTCTCTAACAAGGGGTCTGACCGACCCCTGACAGAACCCCACCGAAAGGGGTGGGTCCCACTCCAAAAAAGGGGCCTTCCCCCACCTATTGGTGGGGTTCTGTCAAGGGCTCGATCAGACCCCCTGTTGGTGAAGCATGGTCCTTTTTCAAATGATTTTAGGTTTGTGAATCGGATAACAAGAGTAATGGTTACCTTTTTCAAGGTCAGCCCTAAGCCAAAGCCAACTAAGCAATGGCTTAGGGCCTCACATCTAATGGGGGCCTCCAAATGAAAACCATGGTAAAAGCCCAATTTAATTAGTATAAATTTAAAAGATGGATTAATTAAAATTTTATTTAACAATATAGATGATTAATTACAAGCTATCAAACAAATCTAATATTATTATGGTAATATGATTTAATTTGAAAAATAATATTACACATTCACTAGTTTACTTTAATAAATTATAACTTAAATTTGACTTATCCAAACTAAATTTTTCATGAGTCAATAATCTCCATAATACGATTTATCAAAAATAACTTGAATTTGCTACTTTATCTTTTGAATCATACCAAGTTTTTGTTTAAGATGTAAATATATTTATTTAAATATTTTTACGCACGTAAAAAATTTTTACGTTCAAAGGTCTCATAATAATGAATCATCTAAGGTCTCAAAATTCTCAAGACCGACATTGACCCTTTCTAGAACTTGTAATCATATTTGCTGGTTTGACTGCATCAGATCAAGTCTTAGAACTGCATCCAACCTTTGAGAAATTGTGTTGATTACATTTATTTGATCAAATCGGTTCTATCAAACTATTGTCAGAGAACTGACCTTATTTATACAATAATAGATTTTAAACTCTCTTGAAAACCTATCACATCACATCTCATAGGATTAAGTTGCTTAAATCGTTAGCTCTAAGGACCATGCTACTTATACATTGTCTTTTATATTATCTTTGACATTATTCCACGTGGCGACGTATGATTGGACAATTTTTTGAACTCAACACACTTTTCCACCAAATATATTTTGGATTTGTAAAGGATGACAAACTCCATGTAATCCATAGAATGTACAAGAAGCAATAATCACGCTAAACACTAATTGAAAGCCGTCAATTTTGATCTAAAACCCCGTTTGGTACCCATTTTTTTCAAAATGTATTTTTCTCTCTATTCATTTCAACTACACATTTTTTATTAAAATAATATTACACGTAAATAAAAAACTTTTCCTTATTTTTCAACCATACATTTTCCATTAATTTATTATTCAAAAATACATTTTTACATAAAAATATCTCCCAAACACCCTCTAAAACTTAATTTATTTTACTACCGTCGTAAGGTAAGGTAATTAATTGTTAGTTATTGTCCAGGCTCTTGCATTATGGCGCGGAGACTTAGGATTTAGAGGATATCAGACTTGTTCAAACCTTTAAACGAAAATAAGCGAGAAGAATTAGTCATCCCCATGATTAGAAAAATAAACATAAATCTACATGCACAAACTTAACCTTCCACACGGTCTCTTACTCGGTTAACGCGTTCCAACTCAACCATATATATATGCATGTCGGCTCTCTAAATTCACCATCATTTTCGTTCTGATCCAGAATCTCGACCACTAGTTAATTTTTGTTTCAATTCAGTTTAATCATTCACACAAACACTGTACACATGGCTGCCACCGCCGCCACTCGTGCCGAACGGCTGCCACGTTTGATTCCTAAGAGAGGACAGATTCTTAGGAATGTTGTAAAAACTGTATTTGCGTGTTTCCGTTTTAGACAAAGGAAACGACGTTATTCTGAAAAATCGTCGGTGGTATATGCATCTTCTTGTTGATTGAACCGGAAATGACTGAAAGTAAGCGCTGTACAGAAATCGACCGGCCGGTTTCTGTCTCCTCCTCTCTTTAATAAACTTTAAAGAAACTTCAATTTGATAATGTATTATAATTTATTGGTAGACTTTACAGCTGGAATGACATTGATACATCGTGTAATAGTTTTATCTGATCACTTGATAATGATAATGATGTTTTTAAGAATTGGATAGAAAATACTTCTCTACTAATAAAATTAGAAACAAATTGATCAATTCTATTAAGGATATTCTCTTAAAAAGTCGCAGCAGCATAGGCTTTTACAGTGTCTGCATCATGCGTTGTGAATCAGTTCTCTAAACATACAAAAATACTAGAAACATAAACGATTCCCGTACAAAATTGTAACAAGGCAACGGTTGTGAAGCAAAAACAAAAATCTTGCAACAAATTATAAATTCCACTGAACTATGTATATTTTGATGTGTTCTAGACAGGCAAAAATGTTATGCAGGCTCTTCTTCACGGGGCCATGAGTCGTTCAATCGTATACGAAAGCGACTCTGTCCAGTCAGCTTTAAAGAGAAGTGATTTTAGAGTATGCATTACGTCGTAATCTGGATCAAGCTTCCGCTGCCAACCCTACAAATAAAAGCAATTAAAAAAAGGAAGAATTACTACAATCCCACAACAGAATTTGTTTATTCTTCAAATAGAGAGATGTTATGTTATGCATAAAATCAGGACATAGTAGCTCCTTCAACATATAGACAAAAGGTGGTGAAGCGGAGAGATAGAACAGACATTTAATTTGCGAAGGATTAAGCTCTAATCCCAAATTCAAAAGCAATGATAGAAAAAAGGAAATCAGAAACACGAAAAGCGCGCACAGAGGTTTGAATGTTTTACTCTCAATGCGTGAGTGTAGTGTATCACTATATTGATGAAGCGTACAGATCCCATGCGTCTCGTCACAAAAATGACTATCCTCCAAAATCCTTAATATATATATATGGTAAGAATATTATGTAACTTAATATATGTAGGAACTACCCAATATAACCCGTGATCCACATTCAAGAAATAAGTAAACAGCATGATCAGGCACTACATATCCGACATAATTCCAAATGTTCTCTCCAATAAAAGGGTGAAATGTGAAAATACTATTGGCTGCGTTCAAGAACTAACCTCATGACTGAACAAAAAAGTTTCTTTCCATGAATATTGTGAATCACGTGTACCACAATTACTAAAATTTTATGAAAAGACTACCTCAAGAACCAGAACTGTCACCATCACTGTGCAAACATTGCCATCAATGTTTACTTTATGATGCCTAACTTGCTCAAGCAATTGCTGCACGCACTCAGCAGGATGGACGAAATCACCTTCTGCAGTCCCCCAAAAATCAAATGACTCTTTCACTTCCTGTTAAAGCAAAGAAATCAATGAAAACCACAAAATTTGTCAAAGACCATAGTAAAATTGCAAGGCGGAAATGACTCCTATACTCGACTCCAACTGCATCTTTTACAATCTTTATCCATTTAAAAAATAAGTGGTTGTGGATGAAATTCACCTGAATGAAGGCCTCTGGCTTTGGGCAGCTCTGTTTCTTTGACAATTTTAGTGTGCACTCTGCTGCAGTTTGGCCATCTCTACAAGCAACAGCCTTAAAGAATTCTACTAAATTCATCCTATCATTCTTAGAAAGTTCAGCAATCATGCCTACATCAAGGAATACGACCTGAGGCTTCGATTTGAAGAGCCGCTTATGAGAAGGCATGCTCTGGGATCCACGAACAAGGATATTTCCAGGATGCATGTCAGCATGAATAAAATTGTCTACCTGCCAAGGAAAAGAAGAAAAACATCTCAGAAAACAGGCCAATCCATAGTTTTTCATAGGTATATCGTTATCTCATTCTAGCAGAGGTATTCAGTTTAACTTACTGGTCAAACAGTATGAGTATGAGGCAGTAATGACTCCTAAAATGTTAACTACTTAATGCAAAAGCATTGGAAATGATCTCAACGTAGCATTAGCAAGTAAGCAAAGCCAAGATTGAGCATTAAGCATTTTGTTCACATAAGTTAAATGCTTAACCCCTAATAATATCTTTATCCTTGTTACAGCATTACACGACCTAAATTGTCAAGCAGATG